AATTTCAGCTTTCTAGCTTCCCTGGCTCCTGAGTTAGCAACTTACTGAAAAAAAACTTTCACGGGCGCTGCGAGTTTACCACGCATACCCAAGAGTTGGGTTTGAACTGAATGAAACTTAGGTGGACGGGGTATATCCTCTTAAAATCACAGTCCTTTAGCTTCTCAGGTACTCGAGTTATCAAATTACCCGAAAAAAATTTTGGCGGACCCGTATTTGGGTACCACGTTCAACTGGAGTCTGGATTTGAGCTCATTAATACCTACTTGGACGGGGAACATCATCCTACGATTTCAGCTTTCTAGCTTCTCAGATCCCCGAGTTATGAACTTACCCGGAAAAGAAACTTTGGCGCGCCCTTACGTGGGGTACCACGCAGATAATGGCGCCCATTTTGGGAATTGGTGTCCATACGTGCATGTAGATTAAGTTCCCAAAGTTTCACCCTGTAGCTTTTGTAGGTCTGGAGATGAAAAACCGTGACAGACGCACACACGAACACACAGACACACACACACACAGACAACCCCTTGTCAACATACGTTTTCTGCATTGCATAGGTGCAAAAAACGCATAAAAACGAAAAGATCGAAGGTATAATATAAGGATCACTTGTCTAAATAGTAAACTAGAAATAGTAAAGGAATAAGAGGAAATAATTTGTCAAGTAAAGTAAAATGTAGGTAAAGTGAAATGGGATAAATCTAAAGTAATGGAAGGGAGGTTCTAAAGAGCAATTGTTTTCCGATGCCGAGCTCAACTTTGGAAGATCAAACAATAAGATTCTGCAGCAAATAGCTCCTCAAGCTCTAACAGCATCTAAGACTGGATATGAATTAAAGCTTAAAGAACCGGCAACAGCGATAATTGACCTGCACAAACTTTGGCGAGGAACTGAGCGAACGGGCCAAATGCTGCCGTGATACCAGTATGGTGTATTTCAAATCCGAGCACTTTGCTGATGTACAGAGGCGAAAATAGGAAGAGCATATTGACACAGGTAAAATTTCCCAGTGCAGCAATCCATACAGCCCAGACTGCTGGCGTTTTCAGGATTGAGCTGTACGGAATCTTCCTCAGGTCTTTCTTGCTAAAATATGCAAATTTTCGGCATTTGTACACATATAAATACGTGTACAAACGGCTCTGTAAACGGTATTCTTTTCGCTAGCATCGTGTGCTTCTACGCATTTTCCTCTATACAACCAGTAAGAGTCCTCATTTCCTGATCTCTAAGGAAATCATCATTCCTCCGAAATATCGCTAATATAGTTCGAAATATCCCACAGCACTCGTATCTTATGACCAAAAACGTTATGAATGCAATGAATACAGAGGCTGGATTTCGCTCAGGAGAGCACCACTGGCCGAGAACCACCAAAATTTGATAAAGAACACCAACTTGGAGTAGACACCCCTCTTTTTTTGCGGTTAGCGCTGAAACAGAAGCGCAAAACGAATACTATCATGACCCGATGTGTATGTGCATGTGTGCTTATGTATATGTTTGTGCTTCACTAGAAAACTAGGAGGCTGAAATTTTGCGAGATGTTTTTTGCCCATATGTGATTTTGCAAACCCGAACTTAACTTTTACGCTTTTAAGTATTCTACGTTCCATGCACACACACGTGAAAGTTATGGCAAGAAATTTTTTAACTGCAGAACCGGACAAGATAAAAAGTTAAAATTCAGAAGAATTTTTTCCGCTAAAGCACACTCCGAAAATATAAATTCATCTTTCATGTACACCTTCGCCTCAGATATGAATACATGAAAGTTCAGGCGGATTTTTTTGCATCTTTCTGGTTCTGTTTGACAGAAATGCACAAAACACATAACTGCATCCTGGTGCATGCCATTTGTTTCTAAAAGCTTGGTGAGTCATAGCCGAAGTGTATAGGATTAATGTGAGGTACAACGGCTCATTGATGGACTTTTATCGTAAGTGCCAATAAAACTCGGAAGCGTGCCACCGAATCAGAAGAGCTGCTTTTAACCGTATATTTTGAAAGCATTTACAATACTATCTCCTTTTTATGCGTTTTTTGCATCTATGCAATGCAGACAAAGGCTGGAACGCACCAGGCGAGCCGGTGCGATCATGCGTTTTTGCATCAAAACTAAAGTAGAAGTATTGCCCGAGCGTTCGTTTCCAAAAAACCCGCGTTCATTTACATATACGATTGCGGTTAAGGTCCGAGCAGAGAACAAATTTTTGAAAATATGCAAATTTTTAGTTCATTGAAAAATTGAAAGTATTGCCCGAACG